CCCCAGAGCTGCCTGCTCCTTGCTTCTCCCCTCACTGTTCTCCAGCTGGGGGTCCCCTCTTCACCTCCCCCACAGGCTCTGCTGCCTACCTGCCCATTAGGGGGCCCCTGCTCTCCCTGACCCTCGATCACAATGATAATGATAATGACACGAATAAACACCCAGCCCAGGGCCTGGCTTGCTGCAGGGGCCCTGTCCTGACTCGTTCATTGTGCAGCTGTCACCCGCTGCGTGCCGGCCAGGCACTGTCAGCAGGCCCATCTTACAGATGAGGAGACTGAGGCTAGAGTTGGGAAGTCCCTTGAGCAAGGACACACAGCCAGTAAGTGGCCGGGCCAGAAGCGGGCTGGGGGTCTTGGCTTGTCCCTGCCACGCTCCTGTCCGGCGCCGCCACACTCAGTGTCCTCGGGCAGCAGACAGGACTCGCTGCCTGGGCTCTCCTTCCGGCTCCGCTGGTGTGATCCTCGCAAGTGGCCCAACCTCTCTCTGCCTCCGTTTCCCCACCTGTAAAGTGGGGGCAGTAACAGTATTTCCTTTATGGGCGGCAGTGAAACTCCAACGAGCTCATTCATATACAGGGAGTCCTTAGAGCAGGGGTGGGGAACGTCCGGCCCTCGGGCCACCTAAGGCCCGAGAAATCATTGGGTCTGGCCCTGCCAAGGCATCCGGGATGAGTTCATTGAATGTCTGACCAACTACAGCAGGCTGGCTTTTAAGTCGATAATATCGTATGGCCCTCGAATGACGTTATACATGTCCAGTGGCCCTTGGCAGAAAAAAGGGAACCCACCCCTGCCTTGGAGTAAAGCCTCATGGGGCACCTGGCACCGAGGAAGAGCTTGCGGGGTCTCTGCCAATGTTGCCATCCCCCAGACACGGAGGCAAGGCCGGGCCCGCATCCATCACCTGCCTAAGTCTCACTGCCAGCAAGGGCCGCCCCCAGCGCTCCCCGGGCCTGGCCCCTGGCCCGCTCAGCGCCTTCTCCCGCCTGGTGCTCCCAGACTGCAGCTCTGAGTCTGGCCCCCTCCCCCTTCCCTGCAGAAGCCCCTCCTCAGAGAGCCCCCCTGCTCCTCCCGCCTCCAGCTGGCAGCCCTTGCTAGCTGGTCTGAGGCCCTGGGAGGTGACCCCACTCCACTGAGATACACACAGACACACACACACAGGCACAAAGACAGACACACACACACACACACACTCACTCCAACTCCCTGGACGACCCTCCCTCTACCTCCCACGTGCTTAGCCCTTTTCACCCTGTTTCTTCCTGCAATGACTGACTTACAGACCGTCCATTGTCCTCAGCTCCCCACTCTATCCTCATCCTAACGGGGGTCCTCCTTGACCCTCTGCCCCCACCACCTCAGGGCCTCTGTTCAGTGGATCCATTCCCACCAGCCAGATCTGAGGGAGGGAGGGGAGATAACATGGCCTGGGGGTGCAGCGGGGCTCATCCTGGGCCTGGGAAGAACCTGGGAGCAGGGGGAGGCTGTCCCTCAGCAAATCACACCCCCTTCACTCACCCCCACCCTCCACCCCTCCCCACCCCCTTCCCCGGCACCAGGCTGAGCAGGGCTCTGTCCTCTGCACCTGAGTACGAGACCAACTGTTGTGACGGAGAAGGGTCGAGACAGGATGGGACTCACTCCTGTGGTGAAGCTGCAGGCTTTCCGGAAGGGGTGGCCTGAACCCCTTCCCCACCTGAGTTCTCCACAGGGGAGTGAGGTGATGCGATCACCCTCCCGTCAGAAAGAACCCAAAGGTCACTAATCACCCGATTACCAATTGAGATCCCCACCGAACAGGGGGGAAACAGAGGCTCAGAGAGGCAGCGTCATTTCCCAAGAACACACAGACACCCCGGCTCCCTGATGACCTTCCCACTATCCCTCTGGGTCTCGGGACTTGCCAGCCCAGCCTCTCCACTCTCCTGGAGTCCACAGCTCCTTCGATCGCTCCGAGGAATGGTCCAGGGACCCCCACAGCAGCATCTCACTTTGGGATGTTTGCTAGAAATACAGACCCCTGGACCCAGCAGAAGCCCCGGGGCTGGGCCCTGGAATCTGCATTGTTCTTTTTCAAATTTCCACCCAGGAATCCTGATAAACAGTAAGATTTGAGAGCCACTGCCTTCGGACACCTGATCAGTGCTCCCCGGACAATGTCCACAGTCCTCACAGAATCCTGTGAACTATGTAGGAGCACAGACTCCGGAGCCCGAAGGCCTGGGTTCCAATCCTGCCCCTGACCGCCCCTCAGCTGAGTTACCTTGGGCAGGTGCCCTCACCTCTCTGTGCCTCAGTTTGCACATCTGTAAAATGGGGATGGGGATAGCGCCGGCCTCACAGAGCTGCCTCGAGAATGCCACACACCGGGCACTCAGCCCCCGGCACCTGGCGCACGGAAGCTCTCAACGGGCAGGTCCATGCGATACAGTGTGTCAGGCCCTGAGTTAAGCACTTTATATCTATTAGGTTTCATTTAAACCACACGAAGCAGATAATGTAAGTGTCATTTTACAACAAAGGCAGCTGAGCTACAAAAAGGAGAAGTCAAATGCCCAAGGAACACAGTGGGACATGAACACGTAGGGCAGTGATGGCGAACCTATGACACGCGTGTCAGAGGTGACACGCGAACTCATTTTTTTGGTTGATTTTTCTTTGTTAAATGGCATTTAAATATATAAAATAAATATCAAAAATATAAGTTTTTGTTTTACTATGGTTGCAAATATCAAAAAATTTCTATATGTGACCCGGCACCAGAGTTAAGTTAGGGTTTTTCAAAATGCTGACACGCCGAGCTCAAAAGGTTCGCCATCACTGACGTAGGGTCTGACTCCGTAGCCCGCGCCCAGAGCCGCCGCTCTTTAAGGCCCCTGGTTTCACACCATCGAGGTTCATCAGTCCCCTGGGGCTTACCCGGCTCCAGAGCCCCCATTTTAAAGACGAGAATAAATAGGTTCTGAGACCCAGGCTTAACCAGGTACCCCCATCAGGCAGTCTCTTTTAGGTTGTAGCCTCAGTCAATATCCTGAGGGCAGGGGGAGAAAACTGGGGACAGGAAACAGAAAGCCAGGGTCTGATGGGCCCCATCTCGCTCCCAGCCTGTTCCTGCAACCAGCACGCCCGCCGCTGCAGGTTCAACTCGGAGCTGTTCCGGCTGTCGGGGGGCCGGAGTGGCGGTGTCTGCGAGCGATGCCGCCACCACACGGCCGGGCGGCACTGCCACTACTGCCAGCCAGGGTTCTGGAGGGACCCCGGGCAGCCTATCACCAGCCGTAAGGCCTGCAGGGGTGAGTGCAGACTGAAGCCCAGCCTCGGCGGGTCTGAGGCCGGAGGGGCTGGGGAACGGAGAGGGGGCGTCTAGGGCCCAGACACCCACATCCAAGATCCTCTCTTCACACAGCCTGCCAGTGCCACCCCATTGGGGCGACGGGCGGCACCTGCAACCAGACCAGCGGGCAATGTTCCTGCAAGATAGGGGTCACGGGCCTGACGTGCAGCCGCTGTGGCCCTGGCTACCAGCAGAGCCGCTCCCCCCGGATGCCCTGCCAGCGTGAGTCCTGAGGGGCCACCGTCCTGCGTGGGGTTGGAAGGAAACATCACAGATCTCCAGTGGACAAGCAGGACGAGGGCTGGGTCCTGGGATGGGGGCGAGAGGCAGGAGGCCGGACTCTGGTTTCCGGGGGGGAAGTGGGGACTGAAAGTCCGGTCTCCTCGGTCGGTCTCAGTCTCGGAGAGGAAAAGGCTGGGGGCCTGGACTCCTCCATCTGAGGGAGGCGGGGCTGGGGGTGCAGATTCCTGGGTCTGAAGGAAGAAGGTCCGGAGAGAAGGGCAAAGGGTGCTTGCCCTCTTATGCCTGAACAGCTGGATTCCTGGGGGTGGGGGGTGCGGGGTGGGGGTGGGGATGGGGGGCAGGAACTAAGGTCAAAGTTCTCCTCCGGTCTCTCCTAGGAATCCCAGAGGCAACAACCACCCTGGCGACGACCTCTAGTGCTTACGGCTCCGGTAAGACAGGCGGGCGTGGAGACCCCCACCAGCAAGAGGGGCTGGGGCTGGGCTGATGGGGCTCCCCAGTGGGGACACGGGGGTGGCCCATTGAGCTCAGTCCCGGGGTCTGAGCACCCCAGCTGCCCACCAAGATGGGATGCGGGGCTGGGCAGGGGCAGAAGGCTGTGGTCCCGGCCTCGGGGAGCCCACGGCAGACAGCCCGACCCTCCCCAGACCCTCAGTGTCACAACTACTGCAATGTCTCGGGCACCAGGGTACACATGAGCCTGCGGAGGTTCTGCCAACAGGACTACGGTGAGTGATGGGCAGAAAAGGGCCTGGCCTGCGGCTGCAGAGGGGCCCGGATGACACGCCAGCCCTCTCGCCTCTTTCCCTCTGTTCTTGGCCTCGGCCCCATCCCCACAGAGACGCACCCTTCCTGATGTGACCCCGGAAGCCCACCCTCAGGTCCCCGCCCCTCCCCATCAGAACCGACCCCCGGGGCCCTGGAGGCTCCCCCACCACCCAGGCCTGACATCTCTCCGCCCCTCAGTTCTCCACGCGCAGGTGCTGGCGGCGGAGGCGGAGGTGGAGGCAGCGGCGGGCCAGGCCTGGCAGCGGCTGGCCCTGCACGTGCTGGCCGTGTACAAGCAGCGAGCACGGCAGCCCGTGCGCCGCGGCGGCCAGGAGGCCTGGGTGCCCGGCGCCGACCTGGCCTGCGGCTGCCTCCGCCTGCAGCCCGGCTCCCACTACCTGGTGCTGGGCAGCGCGGCGGGCGGCCCCGACCCCGCGCGCCTGGTCCTCGACCGCCACGGCCTCGCGCTTCCCTGGAGGCCGCGCTGGGCCGGGCCGCTGCGGCGGCTGCAGCGGGAGGAGCGAGCAGGCGGCTGCCGCGCCCTGCAGCCTCCAGCCCCGGCCTAGCGCCCCGAGCGCGATGGCCTCGAAAGCCAACGGGTGCGCTAGGAGGAGCCCGGGAGCAGAGCCTTTTACCTCGACGGCGCGCGTCCCTGAGCCAATCAGACCTCGCGGTGCCCCTGACGTCACTGGCCTGCGCCAGCGCCGTGCAGGCGCGGAGGCCTCTTCACCCAAGGCCGCAAACTGCAAACGGGACCTTTGGTGCTCTGGCTGGACTTTTGGCCTGAGTCCCGTGAAACTAGTCTCCTCAATAAAGTCTTAAATCTTGAGGGATGTTGGCTACAGACCCCTGATCGGTGCCGGGAGGGGATCTGAGGGGCAAATGAAGAAGGCGTCGAGTAGAGCTGCGGAGCCCATAGATGGCTGCCGCTCCCTGAGAAAACGGCCAATCCAATGAAAGCGATGATATGACGTCACTAAGTGCTAGGGCAGATTGTGTTGCCTAAGGATTGGGTAAAAGCGAGGGGGTGGGGACAGTGGCGGGAAAAGGCGGGAATATGTCTTTTCAGGATAGCCGTGCCAGCTTTCCGGAAAGTTCCAGATTTAGGAACTTTCCGTTCCAGAAGGATCTCAGGATGGTTTCTGAGAAGGGAATAAAAAGACTTTGAGTAAATACCCGACAATGGTTCTGAGTGGGGTCCACCTCATCTGGAAGCATAGCCTAAGGGCCAGCGGTTCTCAACCTGTGGGTCGCGACCCCTTTGGCGGTCGAACGACCCTTTCACAGGGGTCGCCTAAGACCATCCTGCATATCAGATATTTACCTTACGATTCATCACAGTAGCAACATTACAGTTATGAAGTAGCCACAAAAATTTATGGTTGGGGGTCACAACATGAGGAACTGTATTTAAAGGGCCAGAGGGTTGAGAACCACTGGCTAGCCCTGTCCCCGAGAGAATAGCCAATTGCAAGCCACAGAGTAGTATGACATCAGTTGGTGCTAAGCAGAATTCCATCCTACCCAACAACTGGGTACCTACAGGCCACAGGGATGGGGTTAAAAAAGCTGGACACAGTAAATACGATGAAATGGAAGGTTGTCATGGCCTAGGATCTTCTTTGCCACCCTGACCTCTGCCTCCTGCACATAAAATCAACAACACAATTTCCATTTGGGTGACCTTTGCAGGAAAGCCACTGAGAGAGTCCTTTGGGGAAGTCTCAGAAGAAGGGATATGACTTAAAGTCCATTTGGGCTTAGGGAACAACCCTGTTCCTTCCTTGAGAGAAAGTGGCCTCTCAGTCAATGGGGAGCTAGAGTGGGCCATAGTGTTAGAGAGAATGGGTCCTCCAGCAATAAATGTCCGGGGTATGCTCCTGACGAGACTGAAAATGGCAGGACACAGCCTCCAGGAGGACACTGATCCCCAAGCTATCAATAATCTATACTAATAATAGCCTAGGTGGTCATCACGCCCTCATGTCGTCACAAAGATGGCTGCGTGAGGCCTGGGGTTCCTGTGGCTCCGTGCAGCGTGGAGGAGGCGGGTCACAGCGGAGGAGGTGGGTCATGGCAGGGGAGGGCAGTTGTGGGCAATCAGGCTGGCAGGGGAGGGCAATTATGGGCGATCAGCCTGGCAGGGGAGGGCAGTTGGGAGCGATCAGGCTGGCAGGCTGAGCGGCACTCCCCGCTGTGGGAGCACATTGACCAGCAGGGTGCAGCTCCTGCATTAAGCATCTGCCCCCTGGTGGTCAGTGCACGTCATAGCGACCGGTCGTTCTGCCATTCGGTCTATTTGCATATTAGCCTTCTATTATACAGGATACTTGTCTTTTTTTTTTTTTTTTAACCATTTCTCCATCTCTTCCACTAGAATGTGAACTCCATGGGAGCAGGGATTTTGTTTTGTTCATGGCTGTATCCCTGGTATCTAGAAAGGTGCATGACACATGGTATATGCTCAATAAATACTTATTGAAAAACATCAACGAATGGTCTAATTTGCAACCCAACTGAACCTGAAGTGATGCCTCAAACATCTGTAGTGTTAGGAGTCATAGTAAACCCCAAGTAACTGTGGCTTAAACAAGACAGAAATTTATTTCTCTCTTGCATAGCAGAGGTTTGGAGATCGTCAAGCCACCAAGAACCTACTAGCTTTCCTCTCCACCATCTTCAGAATGGCCCTTGTCCTCGCGGCCCAAGATGGCAGATAGTGCTCCAGCCATCATGTCTGTATCCTTGCAGCAGAATGAAGGGAGGAAAAGAAAAAAGGCAAAAAGGCCAACACAGCTGATTTATAATGATATTTTCCAAAAGATATTTTCCCTCTGTTCTCATTGTCCAGAAGTTAGTCACATGACCAGACCTAGCTGCAAGAGAGGATGGAAACATAGACCCCAATGCTGGGCTCTCTTGGACCCAGCTAAATAGGCTGTTTTGATAACCAGGAAAGAGAAAAGAAAGGATATTTGGAAAAAATTAGCTTACCAGGTTTATGTCAGACCCTCAACCAATCAGAATCCAGAATATACTACATCATGGGGTGCTAGGCAGAACAGTTTTTGGCGTTTGCGGGTGGGGGTGGAGGGGGGGGAGGCTAAGATTGAAAGTGGTTGATGTCTGGCGTGACATTCCATCGCACCTTCTGCTGCCCTAACCTTGGTTTGTTTTGTTCCGTGCTGTTACCATAGTGCCTAGAACATAATAGGCACTCAATAAAAATTTGTTGAATAAATAGGCAGGTCTTATTATTTTTCACATTATACAGATGAAGGAATTGAGGAACCCAGGGGGCCTCCACCTTGAGATGAGGGCAGGGATTCAAACCCTGGTGTGTTTGGCCAGAATTATTATTATTATTTTTAGATAAATTTTAAAAAAATCTTTTATTGATTTCAGAGAGGAAGGGAGAGGGAGAGAGAGATAGAAACATCAATGATGAGAGAGAATCATTGATTGGCTGCCTCCTGCACGCCCCACACTGGGGATGGAGCCCACAACCTGGGCATGTGCCCTGACCGGGAATCAAACCTTAACCTCCTCGTTCAGTGATGGCGAATCTATGACACGTGTGTCAGAGGTGACAAGCGAACTCATTTTTTTGGTTGATTTTTCTTTGTTAAATGGCATTTAAATATATAAAATAAATATCAAAAATATAAGTCTTTGTTTTACTATGGTTGCAAATATCAAAAAATTTCTATATGTGACACGACACCAGAGTTAAGTTAGGGTTTTTCAAAATGCTGACACGCCGAGCTCAAAAGGTTCGCCATCACTGTCTAGTTCATAGGTCAATGCTCAACCACTGAGCCACGCCGGCCAAGCTTGGCCAGAATTCTTTTTTTAAAAAAAATATATTTTTTATTGTTGATAGTATTACAGATATCTCCCACTCTCCCTGCCCCCCCCCCCACCTCCCTGGCCAGAATTCATAACCACCTCTTCAATGAATCAACTAGCTCAGAGAGGTGAGGAGTCAGCAACCATCACACAGCAAGCAGCTGGCACGCAAACGTAGTTGTCTAGAGCTGAGCTGTCCAATACAGTAGCCCCGTTTCAATTTAACTTAGCTAAAATGAAATAAAATTTAAAATTTAGTTCCTCAGTCGCATTCGCCACATTCCAAGTGGCTGGCGATTAGCGGGCTGGGCAGAGCGGAGCCAGGACGTTGCCACCATCGCAGGAAGGCCTGTGGGTGGCCCTGCTCTAGAGGCCATTTTCACGAAGATCACAGACTCTGGAGCCAGACTGCCTGGGTTCCAATCCCACCCCTCAGTTTGCTCATCTATAAAATGGCGATGATGATGATAATGACAGGAAGCAACCCCCGGGCGTATTGTGAGGGTTAGATGAGTTAATAGTGTACGTCATGGGCTCAGAGCAGTGCCTGGTACAGAGTAAGAGCCGTTTGAGTTTGTTGTTATTATTTAAACACACGGTGGCCACATCTCTCCCAGAAGAAGAGCACTCAGGAGGCTAGAACATGATGGAGAAGAGAAGGAAAGAGGGTGGAAGAGGCCAAGAGGGGCTGTGGGAACCACCCCGGCCTGAACAGCCTGGCCCTCCTGCCTCCCACCCAGGGGCTGGGAAGGTGGGAGATGAAAGTGAGGAGCAGGCGAGCCCCATATGGTCCTCGGGACCCAAACTTTGTTCCCAGCACCCGAGACGAATAGGCGTGAAATCCACATCTGGGACCCACTTCCGGCCTGGCCATTCCCTCGGGCACCGCGCCCAGCCTGTCTGTGCACTGTAACGGAGGTGGCACAGGTGGCGGCCTGAGCTCAGAGGGGGCCCCTGCCCACCTCAGCATGGCCAGCGGCTTCCTGCAAGAGCAGACTCCCAGGTGCAGCCAAGTCTGGGAGTCATTTGCCCAGCAGGGAACTGGGAAGAGCAGTTAGAGGCAACCATTTCTGCAGAGGCTCTGAGGCCAAGGGGCCTGGGGTGGCAAAAAGGGAGAGATGAGGCTGGGAACCGGAGGTGTCCAGATCAGGGGGGGCCTCTAGGCCCAGGCTGGGGGCCTGGGCTTTTCCTCAGGGGCACTGGGGAGCCAGGGGGCGTCTCTGAGCAGGGGAGGGGCAGAGTCAGCTGTGTGAGAAAGTGATGCGGACAGTCATTGACCTGGATCAGCTCACTGAAGAGCCCAGAGAAGGCCTTGAACCCAGCATGGAGGTCAGGGAACTCCCCGCAGAGCAGGTGACATCTGAGGTAGGCCTTGAAGGACAGGAGGAGGATTTGGTCTTGCCTAGAAAGGCTTAGGGTGGGAACTTTGTCCAGCACCCTTGGAGCTATGGGGTAGCTATGACTAGGGAGAGGCAGGCTCAACTCTAGATGTATAAAGACCACTCTGGCCCTGGCTGGTTTGGCTCAGTGGATAGAGCACTGGCCTGCGGACTGAAGGGTCCCGGGTTCGATTCTGGTCAAGGACACATGCCTGGGTTGCAGGCTCGATCCCCAGGCGAGGGGCATGTGGCAGGCGGCCGATCGGTGGTTCTCTCTCATCATTGATGTTTCTGTCTCTCTCTCTCTCTCCCTTCCTCTCTGAAATCAATAAAGGTATATTACAAACAAAACAAAAAGAGCACTCTGGGGTCTGTGGAGGGTAGACTGGAGGGCGAGGGAGCCTGGAGGGGGAGTGAATTGTAGGCAGACCCTGTTTTTCCTGCACTGTCAGTTCACCGTCTCTCCCTCTCCTCTCTGGTTCCTTCATTGTCTCTGCCTCTGAGAAAGTCCACGTTTTTCTTATTTTCTCCCATCCCTGGGGTCGGCTGCTGTAAAAAATTACCACAAACGGTGTCGCTTAAAATAACAGACATTTGCCGAAACCGGTTTGGCTCAGTGGATAGAGTGTCAACCTGCGGAGAATCGGGGACCGGCTGCCTCCTGCACGCCCCACCCTGGGGATGGAGCCCGCAACCCGGGCCTGTGCCCCTGACCGGGAATCGAACCCTGACCTCCTGGTTCAGAGGTCCATGCCCAGCCACGGAGCCACGCCGGCCGGGCCAGTCCCTCTTTTAAGCCGAAACGCTGTGGCCTGGGAGCCCCGGGAGACCTCT